GCCAAGATGCAGAGTGAGAAAGAGTACAAGAAGGACTATGAGAAGTCCAAGCTGAAGTACCACACTCCTGTGGACATGTTCAGTGTGATGGCTGCAAAGAAAGCCCAGGAGGTGGCCACCAACGCAGGCTACAAGCAGCTGGTGCCCCACTACACTGTCCTTCCTGACGCCATGAACCTGGCACTGGCCCGCAACATGATGAACATCCAGAGTGACGTAAGCTTCTTAAGCTTTTCATGCTTCTTAGAACAGTCTAGACTTCAATAAATACAATTCATTTTGTATGGGTAAAATGTAGCTCTTGAACACTCCTGCATGCTTACAGTGTACACATGGTAATAGATATTTACTGTACATACAGACAGTGAAACAAGTTTGTGGAAGATGTTCTATTGAAAGAATCCAGGACAGTTGTGCAATTATAATCCTTTAGGAAAAGCATGTCAATATAATTTTAGAGTTATTATGGAAAGAAATAGTGCAATGTATGTTTTAATATGTATTTATATTTAAAATATAATTAAATAAGATATAATTTTATTTAAAATGTCAATATATAATTTAAATGTAATATACTGTATTTAAAATTTTTAAATGGGTAGCCTAGCCATGCTGTTGAAGCTGATACCCTGGTATAGTTCAAGGATAAGATCCTTGGACTGACTACCTCCTAGCTTCCAAATGGACCTGAATGACCTCTTCTTATTTTTAGCTTTTGTTATGTTCTCATCTTATACTACTACCAATGAAAAAGAACACAACACATTTTTTCCCCCTTTCCTTCTAGAATATGTATAAAGCTGATTACAATGACTTCATGAAAGGGCTGGGCTGGGTTCCCATTGGCTCACTAGATGTGGAGAGAAACAAGAATGCTGGCATCATCCTGAGTGATAAAAAGTACCGCCAACACCCAGACACTATCAGTTTCACCAGTGTTCCAGATTCCATGGAAGTGGTGTTGGCGCAGAGCAATGCCAAGATCATGAGCAAAGTAAGTGCCTGTTAAAAACAACGGTTCTCCACCAGCATACATTGTGTCTGTGCAGGTATACATTCACTTTTGAATTTGTACCTTCATATATTTCTAATACCACCCTGAATGTGTAAATGTGAGGCTATTATAATAACAAACCTTAGTATTTTGTTTATTCCAATGGATCTCAAAGCACTTCAAATGTAATCGGAGACCCATTTCATTTGACGCTGGAACGCAGTGCTCACCTGGGTGGGTCTCTATGCAGGAGTAGATCAGTGGGAGAACTGTGAAATTCAATGAAGTGTGAAATTTAGTTAAGCAGGAAATTTAGATTGTGCAAACCAGTTTAACATTTTGTCCAAAGGACAGTATGTCCTACAGCACGGGTGCCCTAGGTCACCATAATGGGGCATTAATTTTTGCCATTTCTGTTCCGAAGGAAAGAGCTCCACCTACTGGTCCACCAGCATCACTTACAGAAGCAATCTGTTTTTTGTTAGAGACTTTCCATTGCAGTTACTGTACAGTATATCCAGGCCTAACCTGGCTTAGCCTCTGAGATCTGAAGAGATCAAGCGACAGTGTGTTTCAAGTAATTTCTTGAAGGATATATTTAATACTATATTTAGAACAATATATATACCTGTAGCACGGTCCTTCCATTTTGATTTCTTGAGTTTGCAGATGTGACATCATTCTTTGTGCAAGGTGCTAAACCTATGTTTCCTGTATCACTTTTGCAGCACCTGTACAGACAGGAGTGGGACAATGTAAAGACCAATATCCATGTCATGCCTGACACACCTGAAATCATTCTTGCTAAAGCCAATGCTATCGCAATAAGTGAGGTGAGTCAGGTTTTTCTGCATTTGTGATTAAGTCAATCAGAAATATTTAGTTCCTAATGTAATATAAGGCATTCATTTTGCAATATATGATATGAACATGCTTTTCTTTTTCCCTCACCACATGTAAACTATATTGAGTGTTTCATTTTCCTTTCAGAAAAAATACAAGATGGCATTGGAGGAGTCGAAGAAGAAGGGACATGATCTGAGAGCTGATGCTATTTCAATTAAAGCTGCTAAAGCTTCAAGAGACATTGCAAGTGATGTAAGTGCATTTATCCAGTTGTAGAGATGCGCTAATCAGCTGGTCACATTTTACGTTAACAAAGCGTAAAGCACACAACCATGTTCATTTTCATAAATATCGCAGGTAAACTGACTAATATTAGGCAGTACTTCTGGTATTGAGGTTACAGGTTAACATATTGTTTTGACAAAGGTGAGGGACAACAACTCTTAAATGTGCCCCAGAAAAACATAGGAAGGATGCATTTAGATGCCAAGGATAAATACTTTGTTTTTAGTAAAATGTTTTCATTGCAAATATTGTTTTTTTATTGTATCTTGTGTCTTACTGTGAGTTTCATTAATCTCGCAGAGAAGCACTCAAACTATAGACAGTACAACAGTAGAGAGGAAACCTCTGTGGGATACTGGGGAGCAGCTTCCATTGTGTCATTAAACTACGCATCTGTATCTTTGCAGTACAAGTACAAACAGGCCTATGAGAAGGCGAGAGGTCACCACGTCGGGTTCCGCAGTCTGCAGGATGACCCCAAGCTGGTCCACTACATGAACGTGGCCAAGATGCAGAGCGAGAGAGAGTACAAGAAGGACTATGAGAAGGCCAAGACCAAGTATCACACTCCTGCTGATATGTTCAGTGTCATGGCTGCGAAACAGGCCATGACAGCTATTTCCAACACTGCTTATAAGCAGCACTTCCATCACTACTCCCTCCTCCCTGATGCCGTGAATGTGGAACTGGCGAGGAACATGAGCTTTATTCAGAGCGATGTAGGTTTACTTCCTGTATTCTCAACTCCTGTTGTGCCACAGCCTGAGAAAAATATGGTTTTAATCTTGATTTCTTTGTAGATGTGATTTTTATGTGTGCATATAAGTTTGGAAGAACAATTTTAATTGCCTTTGCCAGGAAGGTATTTGTGACACCTAAATAAGAACGCATTCTTGGGAACCAATTAAGCAGTGAACACTGAAAATAATGTCCTGAATGACTTTAAAATTCTGGAAGAGCATAAGGGAGTTCAACTGGGTTTCAGTGCATGACAGCAAACCTTGTCAAGAATGTAAAAAATACTAGAGAACTTGTTTTCTTTCTTTGTTTAGAATGCCTACAAAAGTGATTATAATACCTGGTTTAAAGGAGTGGGATGGGTACCAATTGGCTCTCTAGATGTGGAGAAAGCAAAGAATGCCTCACTCATCAGAAGCGAGAAAAGATACCGTCAGCACCCGAGTACCATTGAGTTCACCAGTGTCACTGACTCTGTAGACATGGTTCTGGCGAAGACAAATGCTATAAACTTGAACAAGGTAGGAGATCAAATATTTTGATTGTCCAAGAATAAATAATATATCATTTGTTGCTTATGTTGCTGTTCAGCTTAATAGCCTATCCCAAGGTTTATTTACTCTTTAGTTAATTTGATAGAGCATACAAAATTTTATTAACACTTCTATGCTTCATGCAACTTCTATGCAACATTATGTGCTGAATTTCATCTTGTAGAATACATTTTGCACATCTGTGTTTTTTATGTTTATTTGCACACTTCATCCATTGCTTTCTTCCTTTAAGCGTCTCTACACTGCGGCCTGGGAGGCAGAGAAGGGACAAGTGCATGTCATGCCTGACACGCCTGAAATCGTGCAGGCCCTGCAAAATAAAGTCAACTGCAGTGAGGTATGTACAGTATGTTCTCACCTCGTAGGTCATGCTAGTCACAGCACACCTTTCTTCATGTGTGCTCCTGATGTGTACTCAGTTGAAACACATGTATTCAATATCGTATAATCAATTTGATTATGGATGATAATGGATGTTATTGCTTGCTGACAGCCAGGTGGAGATATAAGCAGATGGATATGTGTTATGGAAATGAATGTTAATAAACTCTTGTCAGTTCCCAGTGCCAGGATACGCAACCATTTAAACAGACTTATTATTTTTTCTTTTATGTATAGAATGTCAGCAACCATGGACAACTATTTCTGCCTGAGAGTGCTCATCAGTGGGGCATAGCTAACTACTTAATTGGACATACTATATATATCTTACAGAAAACCATGTTCTAAAAAATTATAGTCTCAAAAGGTGTTCCTTGTAAGACAGATGGCAGTTTTTTTCAGACACATACTTAATGCTGTCAATGTTATTTTTTCTTCATAAATTTCAGAAAATGTACAAACAAGCCTGGCATGAATCGAAGAAGAAGGGATATACACTCAAGCCTGACGCTATTTCCATCAAATCAGCCAAGGCCTGCAGGGACATTGCTAGTGATGTAAGCAATTTTCCTTCCTTAACTGTATTCATCCGTTTGCAGAATTCCCAAACGATTCTGTTTGAAAGTCTTAAGAGTACCACCTTTCTCTAAAAAGGAGGGAAAGGGAGAAAAGATCATACACTATAGTAGTCTTTTATAAAGTTACCTTTGTTAGCATTGGCCAGGTCCTATTGATCCGTGACATACATTTAACTCTCTGCTTCCTCTTAGAGTGCTCTAATTTACAATATACAGATATAAAACAAAATGATCTGCTGTATACTGTATAATACAAGTAATACTACACATCAACCATGAAGTGCACAGAAGAAGAGGACAGTGAAAGTGATATTGATGCCATTGTACCTGTACTTTCAACTATAATTTTGAATTCTATATTTCACCACTAATAATTGGGTAAATAGAATATACAATATGGAGCCTCCAAGTCACTACAATATTTGATTATGCTAATGGTGCTATTTACTTTCACACTTTTTAAGGCTTATTCGATCACTGTAAATGAAACTGTATACTGTACAGTATGTTCTTTTTGTATTATGAGACCTGGCACTGGTGAAGAATGTCCTTTGTTCTGTTGCAGTACAAGTACAAGCAAGG